CAGGGACATTAAGTCAGCCTGTTCGAACTTCAGCTCCTTCCTACCTCCCTCATCATTTCCCAGGAAAGATGAAATGAGGTACCCTCTTCCACAAGCTACATTCCAGTCCCTGGTTAGCCCACACCTTCCTCCTCCAAAACTGTCACTCTCCCCTCGCCCGCCATGGGCTGGAAGCACACTGTGGGGTGTTGGTCCGAGTGAGCTGTGACCATGGGTGAGTACCCATCTGGGCTGCAGAATTCCACTGGTGCAGGAAAATGGTCACTCATGAGATGACAAGCAGCAGCCTCCCTCTTCACACCCTACTCTCTGTGCCCCGAGGGGAGCCCACAAACCAGCTATGTGGGGTCCTGCTGCATTCAAGGCGAGGACTTTAGTCGCTAGGCCACGGTGCCAGGCCCCCCTGCTTCACTTCTGATCCAGCTTCCTGCTAACGTACCTGGGAAAGCAGTGGAAGAAGCACCTGCATCCACATGGGAGATCCAGAGAAAGCTCCTGGCTTCGCCTGGCCCAGCCCCTATAGTTGGGGCCATTTGAGGGGAGAACCAGAGGACGAAAAAATCTAACTCTGTTTTTCAAACAAAATAATACCCACACACAAGATCAGGATCAATAAAGAACGAAAACAGGTGGCAAGACAGTGTCCCAAAGGCAGACCCAGTGGCTGCCTTACCTGCAGACTTTGGACCAAGCTCTTAAAAAAAAAATTTTTTTTAAGGTATTCATTTGGACCTGGCGCAGTGGCCTAGCAGCTAAAGTCCTCGCCTTGAACATGCTGGGATCCCATATTGTCATTGATTTTAATCCCCGCAGCTCCACTTCCCATCCAGCTCCCTGCTTGTGCCCTGGGAAAGCAGTGGAGGACGGCCCATGGGATCCTGCACCCGCGTGGGAGACCTGGAGGAAGTTCTTGGCTCCTGACTCCAGATCAGCTCAGCACCGGCCATTGTAATCACTTGAGGAATGAATCATTGAATGGAAGATCTTCCTCTCTGTCTCTCCTGTATATCTGACTTTACAATAAAAATAAATAAATCTTTTTTTAAAAAATGTATTCGCTTTCATTTTATTCGAAAGGCAGAGACGGAGAAGGCAGGCATTTCCACCAGCTGTTCATTGTTCAAAAGCCCGCCAGCCAGGGCCGGCAGAGCGCCATGCCCTCCCAGGGCGCACACACCAGGAAGCGGGCATCAGAAGTGAGGCTTCACCCACATCAGTGCAAATGTGCACCCTGAGCCTCCTTTCCCCGTGAGAGGGACTGAGGGTGCAGCAAGGGATTAAGCTCCGGATTCACAGTGAAGGAGCCAGGGCCACCGATCCAGGGTCAGGGAGGCCAACAGGGCAGTTCTGCATTTATTTATGTTTAAAAGATTTGTTTTTTAAAAGGATTACTGAGAGAGAGGATATCAGAGAGCTCTTCCACCTGCTGGTTCACTCCCAGATGGCAGCGGCCCTGCAGCAGCTCTCCAAGCTGGGATTGTGCTAGGAAGCTACTTGCTGAGCTGCACCCACCCAGTTTACAACCCCAGGTCAGGTCTAGCGTCTGGGCATCAGCCTGGCATCAACCTGGCGGTTAAGCTCTCCACCCCACAGATGGAGTCCTAGCTCTGGGTTATGACTCCAACTTCCCACCTGTGCAGACCCTGGGAGGCAAGTCATGCAGCTCAGTCCCTGCCACACCTTCAGGAGACCTAGATGGCATCCCAGACCCAGCTTCACCCTAGCCCAGCCTCAGGCACAGTGGGCCTCTGAGGAGCAAACCCCCAGATGGAAGTGCATGCTCAGTCACTCTCTTTGAGACAGACAAACAAAAAAACAAAACAAAACCAAACAACAGTGCTAGATTTCGGGCCGAGGGGACGCTAGCAGGTATTTATGTACCCAGCATTTTGGACGAACACTGACACTCGACCCTACGGAGGCTCTCCTCCAACTGAGAACCTATCTGTTCTTGGACAGAAATCCTAAGCAGAGCAGGTGTTCACTTGGTTTCAGGTATGGAGTGCTGCCATTGGTGGGTCCAGTTCAGGCCCCTTCCACCTTGTGCCCGCAGCACACCAGGGCACTGGTCACCCGCCCGGCCCTGCTCTGGGCTTTGAGGCTTTCATGGTTTTCAATCTCTGCTTCTCCAGGTTTGTTTAAAATCCTTCAGAATCACATAAATCCTCAACATGAAAGTAGGTCAAGTTTGATAGGAATTACCACTGGATCATGTGGTTAACTTTCATAAGAAGATGATTTTTTAGAAAGCTTCAACCTCTGTCCAGGCTTGCCTGAGGAATCAGGGTCCTTGCAGGTGGCCTGCATAGTTCACTCCAGTGTTATGGGATTTTTTGCTAGGAGTTCGAGTTGTTTTCATTCTTGGGAAAAAAATTAAGACTTACAGGTGATATGTAAAACTATAAACCCATTTGTACATCGAAACCATTTCATGGCTGGCTTTAATTAATTACAACTTGTATATTTTGTAGGGTCTTTCCAAATTACAAGCATTATTACCCATTTTGCACTAAAACAGACTAAGGTCCTGCCCCCTGGGATCAGCATGGCGTGTGGTGTAACACTGATACACAGCCTCAAAACTGCAAAGAAGCCAACAGTAGGTGCTCACAGACGGAGCTGCCAAGCAAACTCACAAACATTTTAAAGGGTTCCTAGGTAACTGTTAATCATCAATTTTAGTAGCTACATGAAATCCAATTAAAAAATACTTAGACAAAATAGTGACACACAGGGAAGGAGGACAGACCTTGGAGCTGTCAAAAGCTCTTACAACTATTCACTGAATCCAATTCAGCATTTGAATTTGGCCTGAGGTCATGCAGAACTTCCAGCATCTACTTGAAAGCTCTCCACACAACCATGCTTTCATGTTCCCCACAAACAAGGAACCAAAGTGTCAGCCCCCCAAAGGGCTTTGCAGCTCTTTCCTGAAGGAAGGAGACCATGACAGGGATGGAACACAGCAATGAGGAAGCCACTGTCTACACATAGGCAGCACTCCTGCTCTGGGTCAGCAGACTAGCTGGTCAGCTGCCTGTGCCCAACACAAGGACACTGCCGTCACCTGACCTAAACGCCTCTCGGCTGCCAAATGCTAGCAGGTGCACTGAGACAGTCACTGCCTCTCATTCCTCAAATCTCCCAATATCCAGGAATCTTCTGCCATCAGGCCAGAAGCATGCTGTTGCTAAGCAACATGGAGTCACATCTAAAGATACTCTCCACAGTGCGTGGGTGTGGTTAAAACAAACATGGTGACAAAGTCTTCAAGTTACAACTGGGAGAGGCTAAAGATAGGACACCCAAAGACTTTTTAAGGAAATGGCATGTATGAGTATATACATACGCATTTTACCCTGCATGTCCGTACTGTGTCACAGGTTTCAACTACCGGCACCCAGGCCTAAGAAAGACCAAACTCCAGCAAACCAGGGCAACAGCGGAGCTCAGGCAAGCCCCATTCCTAACCGACACCTGCATGCTGCTTCTGCAGGCCACACGCACCTGCTTTCGCTGCTGGGCTGTGCTCAGAACGGCGGCTAGATGTGACTGCAGCCACCCAAGTCCCCTCTGCATCACTGATTTATTCTGGCTGATGTTGTTCAACCCCCTTTAATACACACGCACACACCCATTCCCCACCCGCCAGTGGCCAGGGAACTTCTCCCACTTCCTTGGACATCAAGTGTTCCATGGACTATTTCCACAGCCGACCTTTGGAGTCACCAAACTTCCCACCCAGCGGGTTAAGCATTAGCCAGGTGTGTTATTGCTTCAGTGCTTTGCACTGGAGTGCCCCCTCTGGTTCGCACGCTCAGATTAACAGCCACTCCAGACCTCACCACGGACCACTCAGGTGGGTCCTGACCCTGTTTTTTTTCCCAAGACAATCAAGTGACAAAAGAACTCTGGCTCAGAGACCTGGCAGTGTGAGAACAACGAGCCAGCGGCCCATGTTCACAGCCGACGGCCCATGGCTCAGAGCAGGCCCACACCTCCTGCGCAGCTCCTCCAGGGGCACAGCCGAGGAGCCAGAGTCCCTCTATCCCCGGGAAGTGGCCCATTCGAAGGAAGAAACTGTGGTTTGCCAGAGGATCTGCACGGTCAGCCGGTGATTCTAGACACACAGGGCACGCGTGTATCCTGACAGCCAAGCAGGGGAGGCCAGACCGAGCTCCTGTCACCCAGGAGATCCCGGGGAGGCAGTTTACACTCGGTCCAACAAGTAACACACCATGGCGAGGCCGCACTGTTGGCTTCAAAGGCACCCCCACGGGCGCCGACGGGCAGGGCCCTTTACTTAGAAAATTTCTCCACTACTCGTCCTGAGGTCCGCACGCAGGCAGCCCCCGCCCCGGCACAGAAACTCACCTCTCTCTGGTGTCGGCGGCCACAGCCCTCACCTCCGGACCGGAGCCGAGTGTGGGGAGGGCAGGGGCCGCGCAGGACCCTCCCCGAGGGAGGCGCCGGTCCCCGGGGAGCCCGGCCTCCTCGGCCAGGGGCCCGCTCCGGACTCCCCGCCTCCCAACCGCCCCGCCCCGCCGGCCCGAGCCGCCTCACCTCGGGAGGGAGCCGGCGGCAGCTGAGGGGGTCGCGGGCCTCAGCACATCCTGGGGGCGCGGGGGCCGAGAGGTAGGACCGCGCGGGTCCCGCAGCCAGTTATGTAACAGCAAGGGCTGCAACCGGGCCGGAGGCGGCGGTCCGTGGCACTTCCGCCCCCCCGCCCGCACCCGGCCGGCACGCAGCCCGGAAGCCCATTGGCCACCATCCCCACATGATCCACTCTCCTGAAGCCGTTGCCGCCATCTTTGGAGTGGGCAGTCCTAAGGAAGCCGGGCGAGGGCGGGGTGGGCCCTCGGCGGCGGTGCCAGCTTGCCAAGCGTGGTCGGTGGAGGCGCCGGTTCCCAGGCCGGCATCCCCAGGGCTCCTCCTGGTGCTTCACGCGCAGAGACCTAGCCCCCTCGGGCCTCCAGATCTAATACTTCCGCAGCTCTCACCTTGGTTCTGTACCGGCGCATCCCGGACACCAGCTGGCGACGACGCTCAGCAGACGCGACTGAACCTCACTGGTACAAAGCTGGCTCCGGGCCGACAATCCCCGGCTGGCCAGCGGGAGCATCCAGGGACCGCACTGAGCGCGGTCAGCCGACAGCCCACGTCCGCTTTGGCAGCTGGGGTGGAGGGCCGTCCTTCGTCTCAGTGGCACGTGGTCCTACAGCGCAAGGTCAAAGCCAAGTTGTGTATCAAGGAACCTGTATGATGCTCAAAGGCTTTAAAGTAGACAGTTTTTCTTTTCTTTCATAGGACCACAGCAAGCCATACAACAAAGGGTGTGTTAAGAAGAACCCAGGGCAAGGTGCAATGGTTCAATGGCTAATCCTCCCCTTAAAAGCACCAACATCCAATGTGGGCACCGGCTCGTGTCCCAGCTGCTCCACTTCCCATCCAGCGCCCTGCCTGTGGCCTGGGAAAGCAGTCGAGGACAGCCCAAAGCCCACATGGTTCCTGGCTCTTGGCTTTGGATTGGTTCAGCTCTGGCCATTACAGCCATTTGGGAATAAATTAGCAAATGGGAGGCCTATCTCCCCTTCTTGCTGTAGCTATGCTTTTACAATATAAACAAATGAATACATCTTTAAAAAAAAAAATTAAAAAGAACCCAGGGTTGAAATGTTTAACCTCAAGAGGACTTGATTAACATCTAAGGGAATAAATCTTAGCACATATTAAAACATTTCTGAATCCCAAATAAACTGTGAGTGCTTTTTCAGAAACGTTCAAAGCATATTCTTTAACATCTGACAAGAAAAGGTGCCTAGAGACTTAAGGGGTTTTAAAAGTGATTGGTATAATTAGTCCAAGAATAATACTCAAGGTAATTGGATCAACAAAGACCAAACTATTGCTCTATGTGTAGTATTGATGTCTAGTGGCTGTGGAACTCCTGATCTATGTAAGGCAACCTGTGTGTGGTGCTCCTTTTGTAATTGTTTTTCAAGTTCCTTGTAGAGAATCTGGAAGACCACTTGGCCAGGGTGCCGATCACTGTAATTTTATTTATATTTCTGTGGACTTACCAAAGCTGCACAAACATGGAACTATAAGCCAAGCAACACGGAAAGGCGTGTTTGCAGCTCTTCAGAACGTTCCCATCACTCTCCACAATGCCCTGTGTCGTGATGAAAATCATTTGTAATTAGATAGTTGCAAAAAAATAGTAAGATTGATGAGATGAGAAAAAGCCACACCAAATGAGGCAAAGGGAGATGGGGGGTGTTGTGTATGTAAAACACAGTACTACGAAGCCTTGCATACTTTTAGGGACTGGTGCACTTGTAATTCCAGGCTTTCTGGAAACTAATCTAAAGAGAACTGGTTGCAAGATTTGTAAGTGGTGTGGGCATTTACCTAGCAATAAAGACACTTACACTGGGCCCAGCATAGTAGCCTAGTGGCTAAATTCCTCACCTTGAAAGTGCCAAGATCCCATATGGGTGCTGGTTCTAATCCCAGCAGCCCTGCCTCCCATCCAGCTCCCTGCCTGTGGCCTGGGAAAGCAGTCGAGGAAGATCTTCCTCTCTCTCCTCCTCTCTTTATATCTGACTTTTTAATAATAATAAGACACTTGCAAAACAGATGCGAGAACATGGTGGGATTCTTGACTGTCACCTGACTTCATTCTCCTGCTGCTGCAGCCTCTGGGAGGGACAGCTGATGACTCAAGTCCCTGAAGTCCTGTTCCCTAGGTAGGAGACCTGGACTCGGCTCTCCTGCCAATGCAGCAGCCGACAGCATCTCAGTGGTGAAGCAGCAGAAGGGAACTCCCTGCTTTGTCTTGGCCTCTCAGGTAAGAAAGCATTCAGCCTTGGGCAGGTGTGCTGGTGCTGCACTCACATTTCATACTGCAGTGCCCACTCAACTCCTGGCTGCTTTTCTGACCCAACTTCCTGTTCATGCACCTAGGAAGGGAGCACTTGGGTTCCTGCCACTCACATGTGCAATCCAGATGAAGCTTCTGGCTGCTTCGGCCTGGCCCACCCTGGCCATGTGGCCATTTGGGGAGTGAACCAGTAGACGGAAGGTATCTCTTTTCCCTTTCTCTCCCCCAGGGCAGTGTCTCTCCCCTCTCTTTGCCTTTCAAATAAGTATATATTTTTAAAGTTTTTTAAAAGATTCACTGGGTCACAAAATTATCCACCAGTATTTATAGTGTCCCATACCATCTCCTCCCCTCTAAATTTCTTTTTTTTTAATGCTTATTCTTTAAAAAAAAAAGATTTATTTATTTTTATTGCAAAGTTAGAAAAGAGGAGAGACAGAAAGGAAGATCTTCCACCCAATGATTCACTCCCCAAGTGACTGAAACAGTCAGGAGCCAGCAGCTTCCTCCAGGTCTCCCACACAGGTGCAGGATCCTAAGGCTTTGGGCTGTCCTCCACTGCTTTCCCAGGCCACAAGCAGGGAGCTGGATAGGAAGTGGAGCTGCCGGGATTAGAACTGTTGCCCATATGGGATCCCGGCGCATTCAGGGCGAGGACTTTAACTGCTAGCCGACTGTGGCGGGCCCCCCTCTATATTTCTAAAAAAAAAAATAACATAACTATCACAGCTTCTCGTAGTAAGGCAATTCCAGGGTAAATCACTGTCATGCTAGACTTATGATGCAAGTATTTAGCTTCCTCTGCAGCAAAGTCAGGCTATGAACTTAAGCTTTTATCAACAGACAAGAGTGAAAGGAACAGAGGCCACGCTGGCACTGCAGCCATAAAAGGTAATCGCCACACCGTTATCATATGGTGAAGAATATACTGGTATTGACTGTTATTCTCCCACATACTCATGTTTGAAAAATTTAAAAAGGTGTTTTTTAAAAAGGCAAATACTTGCTCTCCATTTCCTCTTGCTCCACTTTCTTACTGGCCAGACCATGGGTGGGTGAGCCCCTTTAATCCCAGGGCAAGCAAGACCCTGCTCAGGGCCCAGCACAATGGCTCTATCAAACAAATCTTCACCTTGCAAGCACTGGGATCTTATATGTATGCTGGTTCATGTCCCGCCACTCCAGTTCCCTTCCAGCTCCCTGCCTGTGGCCTAGGAAAGCAGCAGAGACGGCCCAAAGCCTTGGGACCCTGCATCTGTGTGGGAGACCCAGAGGAACTCCTGGCTCAGATTCAGCTCAGCTCCAGATGTGCTGACCATTTGGGGAGTAAACCAGTAGCTGGAAGATCTTTTTCTGTTTCTCTGCTCTGTAAATCTGATCTGCCTTTCCAATAAAAATAAATGTTAAAAAAAAAAAACCCTATTTCAGTACTTCTCACCCAAAGTCTGGTTTGTGCCCTCTGCAGCGTCAGCAACACCAGGGAAACTGCTAGAAATACACAGCCACGGGCCCCAGCCATACTGACTGAATCAGAATCTACCTTGCACAGAAACCCCAGGTCAAGTTTAAGAAGCATTCCCTAGGTGACAGCACAGTGACAGCATTCTGCCGTCTCCAGGGTTCTGTGGACAGCACTCCGAGGTACACGGAATCGAGAAGGGTGGGTATCTCCATTTCAACACTCTTAAACACAAAAGCAAGAATAGTAACTACCACTTCTCCAATGTGTCATGCTCTGTGTTAAACATTTGACAAAAGATCTCACTTATCCTCATGCTAATTCTTCCAGTTAGGCCTCTGTGTTATTGTAAGGATAGTTTCCCACTAATAATCTATTCCATTCGCTCCACTGTGTAAATGACATTTACCCCACCCCCCTGTTCCAAAGTGGTCTCTGACTGGTGGAGCAAATTAAGCTCACGCCAGTCTCCATGGCTCAATGATGGACTCTGGTAACCCTGACCTGGTCAGTCCAGGGAAGGGCACACTGTCACAAGGGTTGGTTCATGAGTGATCGAATTGGCCCTGAGCTCAGCAGTGATTGGTTTTTCGAGTCTTTGCCTTTCTGCTTGCTCTCTCTTTCCTCTCTCTACTGTTTTCATTTTTATTTATTTATATTTATCTGAAAGACATATTTTCCATTCAGTGATTCAGTCCCCCAAATGTTCCAGGGTTGGACCAGGTGGAAGCCAGGAGCCAGGAACTCAACTGGGGCTCTCATTTGCATAGCAAGAAGCCAAGTCCTTGAACTTGGTTCCCCTTGGCCTCACAGGGCGCATGTCTGCAGGAAGCTGGAGCCTGGCCTAGCATCCAGGCATGCTGATGCAGGAGCAGACTTCCCTGACATCTTCAACACTGAGCCAAAATGTTGGCCCCTGAGTAAGTTTTTAGACAGGCTTTTCATTTTTATCTATTAAATTCATATTTCTAAAACACATTTATTTATTTATATTGCAAAGGCAAATTTACAGAGAGTAAATACAGAGAGAAAGATCTTCCATTTGCTGATTCATTCTCCACACAGCTGCAATGGCCAGAGCTCAGCCAATCCAAAGCCAGGAGTCAGGAGCTTCCTCCAGGTCTCCCACACGGGTGCAGGGTCCCAAGACTTTGGGCTAACCTCCACTGCTTTCCCAGGGCACAAGCAGGAAGCTGGATGGGAAGTGGAGCTGCTGGGATTAGAACTGTTGCCCATATGGGATCCCGGCGCGTTCAAGGTGAGGACTTTAGCCGCAAGGCCACGCCACCAGGCCCAATGCTTATTAATTTTAAAGAACAGTTTGCCAATTCCAGAAAATTTACTACAAATGAATCTCTTCTACTTGTGGAATTTGAGTAAAGCTGTTTCACTGCAAGTCCCCCAAGCTGGGAATGTTACCTAAGTTCCCCCTCCTTTCAACATCTGGCTGTGTGCTAAGCAGGGGGACCCCCTAAAGGCCCTACCAGTGGGGGAGAACCGGCGGTCAAGCTACACACCCAGCTGCCAGGCAGTGGCACTTGCTCAAAGGCACTGAAAGGGAAGTCTCCCGTTTCTGTCTCTGCAGCCCGGCTCTCTCCCCGCTGTGCAACAGAGAAGCAGTCAGCTCCACTGGCCCATAGACAGCCCCAAGCCACCGTCCACAGTGGCAGACTCTTCCTTTCCTGAGCACCCAAGGAAAAATATCTTCAGGAATTCACCTATTTTAAACTTTACTTCAGGCTCCCAATGTCCAGTATGGCTCTCTTATTCCAAACCGGGGTGTTCCCAAGTCTCCCCTTTTTGGATTCTGCCAGGTTACAGCCCTCCCCAGCTCTGCTCAGGAAAAGCTGCTGACAGAGGGACAAGGGCTGGG